AGGACAACAATGAGATACACATTTTGAAAACAAGGGGCTAATTTTCTCATTTCATTATATATATTTTCAGTTTTTTAAATTGAATTTATTGGGGTAACAGTACAAAATATGATGTTATATACCAAAGTAACTTAGGGAATTTTACCATTTTTTTAATGTTAAAAAGTAACAGTTCTTCATAATTAAATGATGAAAGTTTTAGTCACACCTTACCATAGACATTGATAGTGTCCTAAAAAAGCATTTTTGACTCAGTGGGGTTTAAACATATTGCTAATTCTTCTAAAAGAATTTTGGAATAGCTATTACGCTAGTTGTCACCTAAATTTTTTCTTGTAAGTTTGATTAAAACATAAAAAGAATTTCTGATGTGGACATTAACTATTAATATTAAAAAATAGTCTTTCATTAGAATCTTAAGGTCACAGTGAGGGAAGAGAGTTTCCAAGTGACAAAGTAACTACTTTTGAAAAGCTGCTCCTTCAGAAAAGAATGAAAACGCTGTAAAAAACATGGCAAAAAATCAACATTATCTGGCTTATAGCAATCTTAAAGAGTGTTAATTTAAGGGGGAAAAAACACCCAAACAACTTAATTTCCTTAAGAATTCTAAGCTTTGTATTGTTTTCACTTGCTCTGTTACCTTTCCCCTCTTTAGCTCCACAGTGATCTTGCAAACCAAGAGCCTAACAATATAGTGACTATGCAAACCAGAGCCTAGCGTTCATTAGAATTGGCATTTTGGAGCTTTTGTGAATTGAAGGGAGAAATAGACAATTTAGCAATAATGGTTTTAGACTTCAGTACCTCACTTTCAATTATGCTTAGAATAACTACCAGAATATCGAAGAAATATATTAGAAGATCTGAATCCTATATAATAAAAGGCTAATACACAAATCTACCAAACGTCAGAACAACTGGTCACTATGATGTGCACTGACCACCAGGGGGCAGGCGCTCAATGCAGGAGCTGCCCCCTGGTGGTCAGTGCACTCCCACAGGGAGAGCACTATTCATCCAGAAGCCAGCCTCATGGCTGGTGAACACAGCGGTGGTGGGGGGAACCTCTCTTCCTCTGTGGCAGCACTAAGGATGTCCAACTGCTGGCTTTGGCCCATTCTGGGGAGTGGGCCTAAGCTGGCAGTCAGACATCCCCTTAGAGCTCCCAGACATCAAGAGGGTGCAGGCCGGGCTGAAGGATCTCCCCCTGAGTGCATGAGTTTTGTGCACTGGGCCTGTAGTAACACTATAGAGCAGCTTGATCTGATAGAGACATCTGTAGTATACCCACCCAATGACAGCAGAATATGTATTCTTTCCAGGTACAAATAGAATATCCTCCAAGATAGACACAAAACAAATATTAATTTAAAAGATACCAAGCCTCCACAAGACCAGAAGATTTCACTTGTGAATTCTCTCAAACATTTAAAGAAATTTTAATATAAATGCTTCTCAGAATATTCAGGGGGGAAAAAAAAGGTGGCAGGGAACACTCTCCAAAGCATTCTATGAGGACAATATTATCTTGAAAAAATCAAAGCTGTAACAAAACTAATATCCTTTATGAATATTTCTTGTGAATATAGATATAAAATCCTTTTTAAAAAAATTCCTTCCTACTATAGCAACATATATAAACAATTATACATTTTAATCATTTGAGATTAATTAAGGGATAGAATATAGTTCAACAAATAAAAATTAATCTAATCCTCTATAATAAAAGCCTAATATACAAATTGTTCCCTAGACCAGGAGTTTGCTCGCTATAACATGCATTGACCACCATGGGGCATTGGCTACTCAGTGCTGGCAGCGGGCGGTAGTGAAGGCACTGCCATCCTTGATTGGCTGCAATGAGAGCAGGACCTTGATGGGATGGCAGAGCAGGTGGCACTAGACTAAGGCAGGGGTCCGATCACCCCACCAATTGCCCCACAGACAGCGGCCAGTGGGAGGAGGCCGCTGCTCAGCTCCCAGGCGCTAAGGGCAAATAGCAATATTAAAATAGCAATATTCTTTTGATTATTTGCCTTTCAATATGCACAAATCCGTGTGCCAGGCCATTCATATACCATCCTAGAGGTCCCCGCTGCTGCAGCTTTGTCCAGAAGGTGGTCTGGAAGGACGTCCAGTCTAACTGGCATATTGCACTTTTATTATTATAGGTTAGTGCAGTGGTCAGCAAACTCATTGTCAACAGAGCCAAATATCAACAGTACAATGACTGAAATTTCTTTTGAGAGTCAAATTTTTTAAACTTAAAATTTTTCTAACACCACTTCTTCAGAATACACTTGCCCAGGCCGTGGTATTTTGTGAAAGAGCCACACTCAGGGGGCCAAAGAGCCGTATGTGGCTCGTGAGCAGCCGTTTGCCGACCATGGGGTTAGTGGAATAAAAGGGAAAAGCCACCTGGCCATCTCAGTAAACAGATAAAGATTTGCCAAAATTCAACACCATTTTATGATTTAAAAAGAAAACACAATAAGCCAGGAATAAAAGGGCATTTCCTTAATCTGAAAATGAGCATGTATGAAAAACTGATAGCTAAACTAACATACTTAATGGTGAAAAATAGAAAACTGTTCCCCAGATTAGGAACAAAGTCTGCTCTTGGCCACTTTGATATAATTATTGAAGATTTTAGCCAGTGTAATTAGACCAGAAAAAAAAAAAAGTATCAAAATTAGAAAGGAATAAGTAAAATGATCTCTGTTTGCAGAAGACCTGATTTTTATAGATAGAAAAGCCAAGGAATTTATAAAAGGAAAAAAATAAAATAAAACACTACCAGAACCTAAAAAGCAAATTCATCAAGGCTGTATAATTAAAGTTAAATATACAAGATTTGTACTAGCAATGGACAATATGAAAATGAAATTAATTTCATTTACAGTAGCATCAGCAATACCAAAATACTTAAGAATAAGTTTAACAAAATTAGGTCAGGATATTGACATTGTAACCTACAGAACATTGTTGAAAAATACAAGTAAAAAATTATCCCATGGTCATGGATTGGAATACTTAAGTGCACGCTCTTCAAAATGATCTTAAAATTCAACACATTCACTATCAAAATTTAAGCTCGCCTTTCTCCCCCCAAAAAAATTGATTCGCCAATCCTGAAATTCATGTGCAAATGTAAGCGACCTAGACAATCTACCATGAAGCACCTTGTTAGATCTAAAACACCTGTTAAGGATTGGGAAAATTGAGATTGTCTTTTTAAATATAATTTGTGAAACAGTCTTTTCCAATATAATATTTTGAAATAGTAATTTTTATTAAAATTCCTTTCTGTGCTGTGAATGAATTTTCATCAGAATTTAGAACTGCAGATTTAACCAAATTATGGGAAAAGGCTACCAAGTAAGTTAATTGGCAAAGCCAGTTCTCATAGTTCAGACATTCATCCATTTTTCATGTGAAGTCTGAAGCTGCCCTTTTTGCTGATGGAAGAGGCAAGGTTTTAAACTACAGTGTTTTAGCACTTTCACTATAATTAATTAGATAGCATGGTATGGACAAATTATTGTTTTATAAATTAGAAGAGCAATTGTGAAAGAGGAAGAGGCAAGTGATTGCTTTTAAGACACACAGGTATATCTGTTCTCAGGCAGATTTGGGCTTTTGGGGCTTTTGAAGGTAAAGTTTTATGTACATACCAGTGCTCCCTTTCAAACCATCATGGCTTTGCCTCCCTTTTAAAATCTTTTAACTTAAGGAATGTGCTGCCCCAACTTGAAAACTAATCTTCTACCTGACTCTTAGTCTTTTATGAATAGAATTGCCTGCAGAGCATGCATTTTATTTGTATGCATGTTATGTGCAGGGATGCTATTATGTTGGTATACTCAGGTTCAGTTGGACCACATTTTGGCAAAGAGCCCATGCCTGTGCTGCTCATTTGTATTCTACATCCCTCTCCTGCACTCAAGACAGGTTTCGCTTGGTGTCCAGATAGAACCTCCATATCCTCCACAATTGGCAGCTTTTACTAGCTGATTAGAGCTGGCATAGGAGGTGGCTCTCCATCGTAGCATTTTTATTAGTCTTCTGCCAGCCTACCTGTGTGTGTTTTTTTTGTAGTTTAGATTTTCTCATTACATTTTATTATGTGATTTTTAAAGACAACAACAACGTATCCTTAAATCACCTTGGAAATGTGTTTGGAGACAGTTCTACATGGGGGTCTTTTTATTTTGTGAACAGAAGCTTTGGTTGCCTTTGTTCTGGTCTGTTTTTCAAGATGATTTCTATAGTGAAGAGCTGGGGAAGATAGAGTGACTCCAGAGCCATTGGATAGGTTTGCTTATAGCTTCAGAGCAAAGGGAGAAACTTACTGCCCATTACAAAGATTTGGGTTCCCAAAGCTCAGGGATCCTTTCCCCTATCTCAATGCACTACGTGTGCAGGTGTCAGCCAGCCCTGCTCAAGTTGCTCTGGAGCAAGAATATGCTGATATTCTGGCTACTCCTATTGTAATAAATTTGTGTGACTCTCACCAAGGAGTCTTACTCGTTCTGCCAGTACTCATGAGATTGTGATGGGCTAACTTGTTAACTTGTTAGCTAAAATCTCAGATCCTTCACAGTTCTTGACAATATGTAGGAAATACAAATAAAAAGGAAAACTATCAGATTTCAGCTCAGAAATGTCATTTTTATTCATGCTTTTCATTAAAATCAACATTATATATTACTTATATAAATGTAGCGTGTATTATGTTTTCCTTAGGTTAAAACATAGGTTTGGCATAATTTTGCTATTTTAATGACAATGTTAAAAGCATAAAAGCCATCTGCTTTTCTTAAGCATATAAATTTTTATTGTTTATATGGATGGATATATACACATACTAGTATATTGAGGTATAAGTGTGTATTCATGCTTTGAAACAACAACTCAATCTTGCATTACTTAATCACATTTTTTAGAATCTCAGTTTCATAGATGTCATTATGATGTATTATTTGCCTCTATTCCAGAATATTGGAAAGAAGATGTCTTGCCAAGAGTTCATTGCAAACCTCCAAGGGGTCAATGAGGATGGTGATTTCTCCAAGGATCTACTGAAAGTAAGCATTGAGTTACTGGTTTTTAAGCTTACTTACGTTTATATTTTTTATGCATATATTTCTCTCCAAAATAGATAGGCTAAGGATCACATAGTTATTTTGTTTTGTTTTGTGTGTTGTTGGGTTTTTTTTGCTTTTAGTTTTTTGTTGATGTTTCCACTGGGTCTTGTCCTTGATGCAAAGTACCCTTCAATTAATAGCTCCTGAAAGTCCACATTGTACTTATTGATTGTAATCAGTAATACAGACATAATAACTAGATTTGGAATAATTGGTGATATAAATAGTTGGTGGGCAGTTTTTGATTTATTTATAAGCAGACTGTCGGAATTTGAAAGTGGTCACAAAGATACATTCACTATGGAAACAAAAAGCAGGTGCAGACTATATTGGAAGCAGTTCAGACTGTATTCAGCCCCTAGTCCCAAAGGCACTCAGGTTGTCTGTGGAAACAGATTAGATTAAGTCTGAGCAATCGTAGAATGCCTGAATTGTTTACACTCAGTTTTATCATTGGCAGCAGTCAGAGTATTTTTCGTGTCACTAGACTGTTTTCAAGGAGACAGTTTGTAAATCATATCATTCTACAGAAGCATAAATGAAATGTGCATTTGATCAAATACAACACAGTGATTGATCATGAATGTGACTATTTTAGAAGTTCAGGATAAGATAATGTATGTTGAAAACGTGATTTTTACAGAGCTCTGTTTGTTTCTAACCTTTAAAAAAACTTTGTTAGATTTCTTTTTTATGAATTTGAAATCAGTTTCTTTGAATGAATTTGCTAAGAAGGGTGACACATTTGAATCACACGTAATATGGAAATGTACCAGTTAAAATATGTCCTTCATTATGTTTTATGTGACTTTTAAACTATATAATCTGTGTAGAATAGAGTTCTGCAAGACATACATACTGTGGGAACTGAAAGAAGTTATAAAAATATGGTACAGTGAGATTGTTATTGATAGTTTTTCTGACTTTCATTGCAGTTTTTTTTTTTAATTACTTTATTGATTAAGGTATCACATATTTGTCCTCAACCCCCCATCCCTCCCCACTCGTTGCGGCGTTTTAAAAAATTACATTATGAAAAAGACCCAGGAAGGAAAGTAGCTTCATCTTACTATATAAGGAATGCATTTTTTATTGAGGTATAATTGGCTTACAAACATTATACGGGTTTCAGGTGGACAACTGAACGATTCGCTATTGGTATATATTGCAAAATGGTCACAATAAATGTAGTTACACATTCGTCACCATACATAGTTACAGAATTTTTTTTTCCTGTGGTGCGAACTTTTGAGACATACTCTCTCAGCAACCTTTAAATATGCAATATGGTATTATTAACTGCACTCGCCATGCTGGATATTACATCCCATGACTTGTTTTCTAACCGGAAGTTTGTACCTTTGACTCCCCACTCCTCTAGCCCTGCCACTGGCAATCACCTATCTGTTAAGAAGGTATTTTTTAAAGCTGTTTTTTAACAAAGCAAATGCTGCCATTTCTGAAGCTACAATCCTGAATGGGAAATAAAAGGTGTTGCATTGTGACATGATGAATATGTTCTGCACATTCTTTGAAGCTATAGTGTGGATACAGGTTAACAAGTCTGTTTTCAGTCTAGCTGTATTAGCATGGCAAATAATGAAGTCTTTCTGAGGGAGGATTTGTAAGGCTTTTGCCCAATTATGTCAGAAATGAAAATTGACAGGAACATTTTTCATGTTGAAGCTTTTAGATTTTAGTGGTATACCGCCTTATGGTAGCGTGCGACTGTGGGTAAATTATTGCGCAGCTGTAGAGCATGTTGGATGGAGCTGTCTGAAAGCAAATGTAGTTACCATCCAGTCCAGTGGCTACTGTTCACCTTGGGTAAACATATGTTCGTTGATTTAGTCTGCCAAGAATTTGCCGGGTGATTTGTTGCCATTGTACAATCAAGATCATGTTCACAAACCTCAGGGGAGAAAGTGTGTGTTACACTATTCTTTATGTACTGTGAGAAGATGACAGTGAAATGGCAGTGAAAAATGACAGTGGTGGTTAGCATGGAAGTTGTCAAGTAAAATATTGATTTCCTTTCATAGCAAAGCCCAGCCACACACTGACCCAAGATGAGTTTTTCATTTTAGTAGGAATCTGGATTTTACTGCAGATTTCAGCAAGAAAATGTTTTCTTCAAACCATTTTTGTTTTATTTCACTCTTCTATCTTTCTTTTCCCTTCCCTCCTGTCTCCTCCCTGTGATCTTACCACATCAAGACAGTAACTCATTCAATAAAGTATGCCAAAACATCTGGCCTGTCTCATGGTCTATAAGGCCTGCCCATCCCAATACTTGATGTAGTTTGCCTTCAAGCATCATTGGGGACAAGGCAGAGAAGAAAGGCAAAGGGGAGGTTCTATGTTTGGTTATAAGATTCTCTAATAAATAGTAAGCCTCTTAAGGACATGACTATAGAGGGGTGGGAATGTAAAATGTGGGCCAGTTCTGGATTGGAGGCTGAATTTTCCAAAAGATGGATGATTGTGATTATGGATTAGGAAGCTATTCTGATTGGGTTCTAATCCCAGCTTCCATCTCTTTCTAACTGAGGGATGTGAGCAAATTCATTTAAACTTTATCTCTTGATTTCCTCATCTGTGAAATGGGAGATTTTATTAGTTCTCACCTCATCTAGTTGTTTTAATCATTAAACTTTTGTATAATATTATTTTATTCGTCACATAGCTCAAAGCGTGCTGGAAAGGGACTCCATCCCTTTCTGAAGGTATTTGAACCTTAAGGTGTTTTACACCTGCTAGGGTCAAGTGTGATTAGTGTCAACAGGTAAGAACTCTGTCCCCCATCCCTGCTTAGCCTAAACACACATTCTCTTGCTCTTGAAAATGAACCAACTGAGACTTTGACCTTGAGCATTTCCTCCCTTTGTTGTAAGATTTTTAATCCTTGTTACTAAAGGCTTCCTTTTCCCCTAAAGACTAGTTGGTTCCAAAGAAGAGCCATAAGAATCCTTTCACAAGAGGCATTTGTTTTATAAAGTCTGTCTTAACATTATATAGGTACCTTACATGAAAGAGAGAAGAAACTATATATGTGTGTGTGTGTGTGTGTGTGTGTGTGTGTGTGTGTTTAAGTGACCGGCGACCGTTTGACCATTTGACTGTCCAACTGGTAGCTATGATGTGCACTGACCACCAGGGACAGACACTCAGTGCAGGAGCTGCTGAGCTGCGGTGACTTGGCAGCTGCATTTCTTGGGTGATGCACCTGGAACCAGAGAAGAGGGAAGCCCAATTCCGGTGTGCATCACCCGAGAACCACCCTCTCACCCCTTGGGAGATTGGTTTCAGCCCAATCCCTGCAGGCCAGGCTGAGGAACCCCACCTGTTCATGAATCTGTGCACGAGGCCTCTAGTATAAAATAAGAGGAGCCAATGAAAAATGGCATTGGGACATACAGGATTGAAGGTTAATTACAGGCTACACAAGAATTTTACATTTTGAGGAGAATGTGGCTTTTGGCAGTGAAACATGGAAACCCTAATTGTTTATTATTCTGGTTTTCTTATTGCCACCTACCATTTCATGCTCAAATAATGTTCTCCTTAAAATTTTTATTCTACTCAGTAGTTAGGTCTTTACTTTTTTTCCCTCAGCAGCAGTTGAATTCAGTAGATGCCAAGGGGAATAAAAAAAATAGCTAGAATAATCTCTAATTTAAGAATATTTATATCCTCTTAATGATAGAGAGGACAGAAACAACAAAACAAAAACCTAAGTCTTTCAAAATGATTCTAATGTAACTAAAAAACAAACTGCATGCAATGTGCAAAGTGTTTTTAAAACATGCCTCCTCCTAAATCTAAGTACACAAGTAGCTTTAAGCATAATTCCAGTTTAAAGGCAGTCTCACTAGAAATCATTAAAAAACAAGTAAATAAATCTTGCTTGGGCAAGTCAGTAACATGCCACCCTTTCAGGCTTATGATTAGATGTTTGACTTTGCAATATTCTTTCTAAATTTAATTTTTTGGTAGAAATTGCTTGCCTCTCCTTTTCTTGGGAATTTATTAACTTTGAAATTAGCTTGCAGTCAACGGAAACCAAAAGTTTTTTTTCACTCTCAGTCTGTAGTTAACGGTGAAGAGAGTGTTCGGGTGCAGGGTAGGAGGGGAGAGTGGCAGATAAATTGAAAAAATGTAAATCAGTATGCCCAGCTTAGTGAAATTTGCATGCTTCATTCTATTAATGGAATGATAAATAAATTGTTACATAGTTTATTGGGTAGAATCCCAACAAAAGTTCTTACTCAAATGCATATGTTTGTCCTTGCTTCCCCAAAGGACAGAATTTAGGTAAGGTTCTTTAAAAGAAATTTCTAAGTGTATATAAATTACCTGCGTTCATTGCTTAATATATGTACTTGGCTGAAAGCATTATATATTTTGTTCTAAATGAAGTATATTTCATTTGCTATTTTTAGGGCAAAATAATTTGTGAAAACAATGGAGAAATTAGCCAAGATGGTAGCATTTAAATAGACACAAAAGATCAACAAAGAAAAACACATTTTAAATAAAGATTAATGGGTCTTGTTGGACAAGGAAGAAACATAAGTATGAAATATATCATTATACTATGCAAGCTCATAACCATTAGTCTTTTTAAATGTATTAGAGATATAAGAAATTTTTTATAAGCTCAAACTCCAAAAAAGACTTGTTTACATGGTGACAGCAACAGCTGTAGTGATTCTTCTAAGAAGGAGAGACCAAAGCGGGCCCCGCTCTCTAACAGTTCCATTTCCCATTCTGATTGGACCCTTGCAGCCAGGGAGGAGACTGGACATTTAACACTGACAATTACCCTACTTTTCTTCCCACCAAAAGGAGGACCTTAAACAATATTCTCCTCTTGTGTTTGCTCTCTCTCCATTCATCTTTGCTTCCAATATTATTAGGGAGGACTAGTATAATATAAT